CATGCCTCCTCCAACAAGGCCACGCCTCCTAATCCTTCCCAAACATGCTGTTGCAAGGAGCTGCTTGTTAGTCCCAGCTTCCCAAAACTGAAATAATAGCACAGAAACTGTATTAATTAAAACACTGCTTGGCATATTAACTCTAGCTTCTTATTGGCTAACTCTTACATCTTAATTTAACCCATTTCCATTAATCTGTGTATTGCCACATGACAGTGGCTGACTGGCTAAAGTTCCCAGCGTTTGTCTCCGGCGGCAGCTCCATGGCATCTTTCTTTCTGCCTTCCTTCTTCCAGCATTCAGTCCAGTTTTCCCTGCCTACCTAAGTTCTGCCCTATCAGTAGGCCAAGGCAGTTTCTTTATTCATTAACCAATAAAAGCAACATATAGACAGAAGGACCTCCCACACCAACATGCTGACCAATTGGGGACCAAGTATTCAAACATCTGAGCCTATGAGGGCTATTTTCACTTAAAACACCATACTCTTATTCAGATCAACAATGAAAAACAGATCATTTGAAGTAAAATTAAAGAAAATAAAAATGTATGGTTTCAAGAGAAAAACACCGTGGGATGTTTTGGCTTGAATGAGAGTGACCCCCATAGGAATTTAGACACTCATTCTCCAGTTAGGGGTGCTGCTTAGGAAGGTATATGTTTTCTTTCTTATTGGAGAAAGTATGTCACTGAAGGTGGGCTTTGACAGTTTAAAGACTCAAGCCATTCCCAGTTTGTTCCCTCTCTCTGAATCCTGCTTGTGGTTCAAGATTTGGGCTTTCATCTCATTGTTCTTGTCATCTCTCCTCTATTATCATGAATACTATCTGGCATGGTTAATATCAAATAACCTTTTTCTTCTATAAGTTCATGGTATTATATTACAGCAATAGAAAGTAACCAGTACTACTGACCTCACCAAAGAAGACAAGCATGAGAGAACATTTTTGATAATTTGTGAGTTAGGGTGACATCACTGACACATAGCCCCATATTTTGGAAGCTGACCCTACATTCTCCATGAAAAAGGGATAGTGACAACAATATGTGTGGTTCAATTTTTATCTTCTCCAAACTATTGATTCAATCATTTAAGATGCTGTGAAAGTTAGGTGATCATGTTGTAACTGGAATTAACAAAACAATAATAGAATGAAATTAAAATATAATCCCATGCAGGGCACTGGTGGCACATGTCCTTAATCCCAGGACTTGGGAAACAGAGGCAGGTGGAGTCCAAGTCCAGCCTGGTCTATAGATGAGTTCCAGGACAGCCATGGGTACGCAGAGAAACTCTGTCTTGAAAAATAAAAATAAGTAAAATTAATTCTAGGAGTATATCACATGTGGTTATGTATGAATTTTATTTTAGATAGCTACATTTCATTTCATTCTAATAATTGGTTGTGAAGTAAAACTTACTGATTATGAGTTGGAGTAAACTTTGTACAAACTATCTGGAGGTATAACTTTTTAAGACTTGTTTTTACATTTGACATATATAGGGGTGCTTTGGTTGCATATATCCTTGAGTATGACATGCATGCAGTTCCTGTGGAGGCCAGAAGAAGGCAGCAGATATCTCAGGAATGCAGTAAAAGATGGTTGTGAGTCACCATGTGGATGCCTGGAACTGAACACAGGTCTTCAGGTCTTTTGAAAGAGCATCTAGTGCTCTTAACAGCTAAGTAGTCTCACCAGCCCTCACTATCTGGAAGTTTATTGCACATTTAATCAAAGATATATGCTGTATCCTAAGAGCCTTCATCTGACACATTACTGTAACAATAATCTGTACACTTCTCTACTTTTTATTGCTTTTATAGAAGGCTAGATTTGACTATCTAGCACAATGAAAAATCTTTTGTGCAGAAGAACTTGGCAAAGGAATCATATTAACTAGAACAGTTTTGTAATGTTTTGACAAAATGCTCTGATTTACAATCAACTCTCAAGTCCAAAGGCTTGCCATTTTCCTGCTAAGTATGTGGCTATGTTAAAACACGTGGAGTATTTGCTTTTAATCTTTTTTTTCCTGTGGTTATGGTTGTCCTGCAATTCACTCTGAAGACCAGGCTGGCCTCAGATTCAAAGATCCCCCTGCTTCTGCATCCTGAGTGCTAGGTTATCACATCAGCCAGAATAAAGCATGCTTCTCCTTCTTATCTCACAATAAACCTCAAATGAAAGCATTCTCTACTAAATTTCCCCTATAATTTCTGGTAATAGACAATCCAGCAAAATTTCAGAATAAAAGGATTAGCTTTTTGGCTTTTATTTGCTTGGTTGACTTCTTATTTCCTTCCCAAATACCACACTTACCCTTTAATCGGAACAAAGCATGTGCAGAAGATGTTGTGGCTAGACCTAAGATCATTTGTTGAAAACAGCGAGGCATTGAAAGCAATGCCCACCTCAACTGCTAAGAAAAATGTTGAAGGCAACATAGGATATATATATATATATATATATATATATATATATATATATGTATGTATGTATATATGTATATATGTATATATATTTGTGGTTTTGTGTACTGTCCTGAGTCAAAACCAACCACCAAAAATCAATTTCCTTTCTTGCAAGACTTCTGTCAAAGGGTTAAGACAAAAGTTCCTCATTCCCTTTTGATACAATATTTGCTGTTATAGTCAATAAACAAGAGGACAGCCTTTGTTCAAGAGATCAATGAGGTCAGGAACGAGATTGGGACTCTTCTGCACAAATCAGGCCAACTCTTCTGTAAATAACACCAAGGTTCACCTTTTTTTTTATTTCATACTGCACCAGTTCTTAATCATGGAGCCTTCTCTCCAGATTCTCCTGGCATATTTTTTAAAGTAATATTAAATCTGAAGGAATAATTATTTCTAGAACACAACTGTATTTCTGTTTCAATGCTTACTAAATAAATGTTTTATTTTCTCCAGTGAAGAATTCTAACTTCTCACCCCAAACTTCACTGGAACTTCAAAGAGTTGCAATGGAAATACTTGATAGGAAATGGGAAGAAAAAGATGGACTATAGAAATGAGAAAGAAAAAAAGCTCAAGTTATCTACCATTGTTTTCAACATCTCAACATTTTTTTCTTTGTTTTAAGAAGATTTAAAAGGAATAGGTTCATATATGAGAAGTTCCAGCCATTAAAATGTCATACAGATTATGGAGTTATACAAAGTATGGATAAAGTAATTCACAATGGTTCAATTTTGTTATTGCTAGTTGTACACAGCTTTTGATACTTTTCTAGCAACAGAAAGGGTAGTACTTGGGTATTTTAATTGTTTCTGCTAAAAATTAGGTAAGAAAAACTAATTCAAAACAAGAGTAAGCAAACTCTGAATAGAATGTGTAAGTTTTGCTAATCACTGAAATAAGACATGATTTTAATATCAGTTCCATCCCTTCCTATTTTATTCAATTTTCATGATGCATTAATTAGAATAAAGTGTTTATTTCTGGGCCAAACTAAATTACATTTTTAAAATTGAGTAGTAAAAATTTAATTTTGGTTGTACTAAAGAACAAAGCTAGCATATTTAGCTTAAACTATTTAAAAATTACAAAGACTTTTAAAGTTTAGCTAAAAACTAAAAATATATCTTTTTGTTTCTAGAAGTTAAGACATAAAATTAATGAGTTTGTTCCTTTGAAGTTTATCATGATCTTTTCTGTTTTTTTAAACCACAGAGATGGTTTAATATTGATTTTTCTTTTATCCAGTGCTACACAAAAACAAATTACAAAATTGAAGACAACTTTAAATTGTAGGTAATAAGTTGGCAGTGCAGAACCAGAGGAGGAAACTATTCGTGTGGGTGGTAGGTAATATAAGGAAGTCTTGGGTCTGAAGTTGATGGGGAAACCTTAGGAGTTGATTGTGTACAGAGACTGCAGTAGGTTTTGCCCTAATTTGCAGATTCTGTCACCCAGTTAAGTTTCCTGATTATGGTTGACTCGCAGAAGTTCTTGAAGAAACTGGGATGGATACTGGAGACAAAGGGAAGTAAGATCTTAAAATACAATTCTTAGAACGAAAGTCAATTTATGACCATTTGGCAAGAATACTTAGAGACTCTGGGAGTTAAATCCTCAAACTAGGTTATACTACCAGGAGGAAACAAGAACTGATTTTAACACTTGGTCATCTCTCACATTTTTTTGACTTCAGTCTTGAATTTCTACATTTCTTATTCCCTATTCTCCCATTAAAGCTTTGAGTTTCACTGCCACTTATCGCATAAATATACTTACCTGAAGCTGCCAAGAAAATGTCTAAAAGGTGTTACTGCCAGTAAAAGCACCCAACACTCAAGAATCAGTCGAGAACATTTTTCACCAATCTAGACGATCACCTCATTTCAAAAGGATACATGTCAAAGTAAGAAAACAATATGGATTATAATATGGGTTATAAAGCAATATGGATTATAAAAAAGAAATATAAGATAAAAAATAAAAATGGGCTGTGTTAAAAAACACTTCTAGTAATTCAAATATGTCAGAATACTAGTTGATTCTAGTACTAAGTTGAACTTACTTAAAAATTCTACACTTAAATATTAAAACGTATAACAAGTGTTAATCATAAATAGGCATGTGCTTCACTGAAAAATTATCTTAATAACCGTAACACCACTACTTACTCTTACAGAGCTATGTTGTGCTCTTCCACAGAAAGTATTACAAAAGGACTCCATTTGTGCAATGGATTGGATTCACAGTATCTTAGTACCTAGATCAAGTTTAATATTGCCCTGAGAATATCAGTAGTGGAATGTATACATAAGGTGTGTAAAAATCTATCTTTAAAGCTCTTAGGTGCAATAATTCAAACTGGCAGCTGCTCTAGCAAAAGTGTTGTTAGCAATAAAAAAATCAATACATTTTGTTTCAGCAATACTCGTTTATAGTACTTTTGCAATGAAATATATAAATTCACATTCAACTTCTCTTGCTGGAACTAATGGACTTAGAGAATGAGCTTTTGCTTCTTTAACAGCTAGCCCAATCCTGAAAACGGAAGCAGTCACTTGCAATCTTCCACACGGTGTTGTTAGTAGTGCTATGTGCAGTAAGAAGAAAGTTCTGGTTGAAGAAGTGTTTTCTGTTTCCATCAAACTTCACGGCTCCGCTGGTCACAACAAGAATTGTAGTCTGAGACTGGGTAGCTTGCTCTTTAGCAACACAAACAAGAGATAGATGTCAATTTACATGTCTCAATAAGCTTACGATGTAATGCTAAAGATTTTCATGTTCTGTCCTTTGAGTATACATCCCAAAGTCAAAAATTGAATATTTAAAAAATATGAAGATGATTTTTCTATCCAGAAAGATTTATGGGGTACTCTCAAGTTTCAAAATAAAGATTGTAAATCTAACCTGACCATTTGTTTCCTATATATTAATATTTCATTAGATATCTAACGTCATTCATAGTTTGCTTCTTAAGCCGTCCTTCAGGAACTATAAAGGGAAATACCATATAAATAATCAGTTAAGATAGTAAGTACCCCATCTAGTGGTAAATATTGTATACTACATCTATCTACTCTGAATCAAATTCTGTCATGTCCTAAGTTGTTCTTTCGCAGAATACAGTTCTCTGAAATGTTAACAGACCCTCAAACACATTAATCTATGATATGGCATAGATTTTTTTTATGTATACACTCTCCCTTTCAACAAAAATCACATTTAGTTGCAATTTCTCATATAAGTTGTAATAACCAATAAGCATACACTATTCCAAACTTAATGGTAGTTCTCTGGAGTGAAAAGCATCAAACAATCCCAAAACTTGACTGGATGAAGTACTTTTCGTGACACTTCATGTGCTCAAATAAGTAAATCTATCTTCTATTAAAACTTACTGCTGCTTTAGGTGTAAACCTCAGTGTTTACTAACAGCAAATAAAGGAGATACTTTGGAAGATCGTGATCTTACCATGCACTGGTTGGCAGTCCAGCATATTGATTAGGAACTCACTGGAAGGCAACGTCTCAAAAAACTTAGAAAGGGCTTCGTGCCCTGTAACAACATTTCCATTCCAAATTAGGGTGGCCTTGTCCAAATACATCCTGACAATTGCCTAAAAATAAAGGAAAACTTTTAAGAAATGAATTTTTTTTCTGCAACATTTTTTTAGAAATACAGTAAGAGATTGTAGATGGAATGTAAACATTTTCCTGACTCTGTCTCCATCTCTACTTCCTTTGCCCCCTTGCTACTGGAAAACAATGTGACCATGATATCTAGCTTGCCTTAAATAGGTATTATCTGACTCAATAGACCTGGTATTTCAGCTTTAGTTTCAATGACAAAAACTTGCATCCTCTCAAATAATAAGAGTTTTACAGTCTTGCTATTTAAAAATATATTAAATGATCACAAATCCCAAACACACCCAGTCTCGAACACATTTTCAGTTTCTCCTTTCCAATTTCGAGAATTAAGTCCTAATCCGCTTTCGTTCTAGTGACTAAACACATGTGACTCATTTGATGCTTTTATGCTGGGAAGAATTCATTTTTCCAGTGTTGGCATAGTAAGCACCAAAGAGTCCGAAGCACTGAAAGTGGAGTGATGAGAATAAATGTGACGAAGTGCATGTGAGGCAAAATCTAGCAGATTTATCTCTTTTGGGTCAAGTGACACATTACTTGTTTTATTTTCAAAGTAAAGTTGGATTGAAAGGATTAAACATACCCTTGCACAGATAATGAATGACACTAACTCCTTTTACTTTTGCTCTGTATCCCAGGCTAGCCTCAAATTCAGGATCTGGTCTCAGCCTCCCGAATGTTAGAATTACAGGTATGAATGGAGCTTGGCTCTGTTGCACCCACAGGATTTCACTATGTTTCTCTAGCTGTCCTGGAGCTCACTATGTAGACAAGGATGACCTTAAATTTAGAGATCTGCCTGCTTCTGCTTCCCAGGTTCTGGGATTAAGCACCTGTGATACTATAAACCCAACAGGCTACTTTAGTTTTGAAAGCAATAAGACAGGACAAATAACAAATATTCATGACAAGAGACAATGAACATCCATTGTCATAGCCTTTCCCACCCCCTGGTCTATGTCAGCTATAGTAATATAGTTTACATTTTTTCTTAAAAAAGTATTTTTTTAAATAATAAAAGAGTTCTGTACTGGTAGGAAACCACGGCAAGACTATTTGATCACATACTGAAATAATTCCTTTATAAAAGTAGAGTTGAGAGGTAAATTACAATGGAAAATCTGATCTGAAACCTGATCTATTAAAAACTAAAAGCATATACATCACTTGGATCCTTATTGTGAACATCAGCTACAGCTGTAAACTTTAATCAGAATTTTTTATTAGTATAGAAAATAAAAGAGGAAAACCAGGAGACATCCCTGAAATTGTAGACCATTCCACACTGCGCTATTTATTAAACTATGTTAACTCAAGGGACTAAAGGAACCTGATCAACTATTTAAGTACAGTTGTGCTGGACCCAGTGTTATACACAGTATTTAATCTCTGAGCTGTGGACTTAGGGCAGAGGTAGGGCACTTACATAGTTTGTTAAGGCCCTGAGTTTAATTTCTAGCATTGCAAAAATTTTCCCCCTTAAAAGTAAAGTGAGGTTAAGAAAAGTTGGGACTTTGCCTAAGAGCATGGTACTTGATAAAGGCAAACTTAATGACATTATTTCTAAGCTGACATCCCCCCTAATACCTTACCCATACAGTCTACAAGCAACTTTCTTTCTTTTCTTATTACATTTTAACAACAATATAATAAAAGGGGATTCCTTTTTTAGCAGGTTATATCTTTTTTAGGGCAAAATGGTTTTTTGGCAACACAAAAAATATTATCTTTTAATTAAAAAATTCTTCTTAAACTGGAGCATGTGTAGATAAATATACCTATTTCCCTGTTCCTTTTATACATAAATTCAAGGTTTAAGTGTGTCTATTTTTAGATTACAAAGGACATTCACTTTGAATTTTGGCTTGCCTTTTGCAAGTGGCTTTTAATTTCCAATCACTGTAATTCTTATGTGCCTGCCTCTGATGCAGTTCTCCTGCTCACACCCTTATATCTGAGTCCCCCATACTTATATTCCCAGGGTCAGTTCTATTGTTTTACCCAGTCAAGGTACAGGGCCCTCTCTTTTGATTGTTGTAGGGGACATACAGAGGAGGGGGTCAGCTGTCCTGCTCTCATGCCTTCAGGGATGGCTCACCTGTGACCCCTCCCCCCCAGTGTCCTGCTCAAATATTTTATTTTAGCTTCAAATAACACCAATCTTGAACTATAGTAATACTTTGAATTTACTTAATTTTTTAAATATTTTAACTATGTTTTTAATACCAAAACAACAAAAATATCCTCTTTATTTAAGAAGAATCCTCAAAAGCTGATGTCCAAGATGGCATGTATATTGCTGAACGGCAATCTACAGTTTAACATTCGAACATGGAATTAAGACATATGGTTCAAGAAAACCCATTTTTAATTTCATGCCAGTAAAGCAAGTGTGCCTTTCTTAAATTATCATTAAAAATAATATTATTTGTTTGTTATTTTTTCATGTCTGATCAATTGAAAGGCATTTGTTGGCCTCTTTAAGTTAATTTGGACTGAAGGACCAACCTGTGTAATGAACTAACACCTCTCTTTATTCAGGAGGCCTCTCCCGTTCGAATCTAATCTTTATCAATCTTGACAACATTCACAGCTTTTCTTCTGTGAAAACAAAGGCAAAACCTCTTCTCTAATGGAATACATATCCTGGTTTCCATTCTGAGGTCAACACATCTTTGAAATATACATATGTATACCATATGAAATTACAACTTCCTTAAATCTTCTCAAATCCCGTATTTCTCTAGGAGTCCATTTAACTTCTTCATAACCTTGGAGATGCCTACTGTCTGATGTTAGTTCTTGTATAGTAACTGACTAAGCTAAGGTTGGTTTTCTAAGAACCTTCTCCCACCCCTCTTCAGTTTCATTATGTGCTGGCATGGTAGATTCTTGTCTAAATTCCTCTGTCTTTGGGAATTGTTCTTATTTTCACTCATAAGTCTTTCTAAGACTTGTACCTTATCAATACACTGTTCATATTTGGTATAATTATTAAACCATTTCTCATATTTGCACAAAAATCCCACTATGGCTATTAGGGATAAAATACAAATTTCCAGACTGACAGTAATTATTAGTACTATGTCAATCTCAGTTAAGCCATTTATCTTTTCATTTTCTGCTTCTGTTTTCAAGTCATCTAAAGTAGCACTATATAGGGTCATAAAGCCCTGTATTATGATATTTCCCATCCTTAACATGGAGAAGAGTTTTACTTTTCATATTAGATTCTTTCCTTGAGGACTTCCCAGGTATCTTACCAAACCTTATGGCTTCTCAGTTTGTCCATAGTTGACATAATTTCCCTGTCCATGTGGCTGTGCCAGATAGTGGGTGAGAAATGTTTTTAACAAAACCTTTCTATTTATTTATTTATTTGTTGAAAAAATTTCTGCCTCCTCCCCACCTCCCATTTCCTTCCCACTCCTCCCACTCCTCTTCCCCTCCTCCTACTCCTCTCTTCCTCCCCCCACTCCTCTCCTCCTCTCCCCACTCCTCTCCCGCTCCCCCCACTCCATTCCCCCTCCCTCTCGAGTCTGAAAAGCAGTCCGGATTCCCTGCCCTGTGGGAAGTCCAAGGTCCTCCCCCCTCCATCCAAGTCCAGGAAGGTGAGCATCCAAACAAGCTAGGCTCCCACAAAGCCAGTTCATGCAGTAGGATCGAAACCTAGTGCCATTGTCCTTGGCTTCTCATCAGCCTTCATTGTCCGCCATGTTCAGAGAGTCCAGTTTTATCCCATGCTTATTCAGTCCCAGTCCAGCTGGCCTTGATGCGCTCCCAATAGATTAGCCCCACTGTCACAGTGTGTGGGTGTACCCCTCATGGTCCTGACTTCCTTGCTCATGTTCTCCCTCCTTCTGCTCATTTGGACCTTGGGAGCTCAGTCTGGTGCTATACTGTGGGTCTCTGTCTCTATCTCCATCCATCACCAGATGAAGGTTCATATCCAGGCAGATGACTATATGTTTTTCTTTGGGTTCACCTCCTTATTTAGCTTCTCTAGCATCACAAATTGCAGGCTCATTGTCCTTTATTTATGGTTAGAAACCAATTATGAGTGAGTACATTCCATGTTCATCTTTTTGGGTCTGGGTTACCTCACTCAGAAGAGTGTTTTCTATTTCCATCCATTTGCATGCAAAATTCATGATGTCATTGTTTTTTACCACTGAGTAGTACTCTAATATATTCCACACTTTCTTCATCCATTCTTCCATTGAAGGGCATCTAGGTTTTTCCATGTTCTGGCTATTACAAATAATGCTGCTATGAACATAGTTGAACAAATGGCTTTTGTCATATCATAGGGCATCTCTTGGGTATATTCCCGAGAGTGGTATTACTGGATCTTGGGAGTTTCCTGAGAAATTGCCACACTGATTTCCAAAGTGGTTGCACAATTTTGCATTCCCACCAGCAATGGATGAGTGTACCCCTTACTCCACAACCTCTCCAGCAAAGGCTATCATTGGTGTTTTTGATTTAAGCCATTCTGACAGGTGTAAGATGGTATCTCAAGGTTGTTTTGATTTGCATTTCCCTATCACCAAGGAGGTTGAGCATGACCTTAAGTGTCTTTTGGCCATTTGAACTTCTGTTGAGAATTCTCTGTTCAGTTCAGTGTCCCATTTTTTTAATTGGGTTAATTAGCATTTTAAAGTATAGTTTCTTAAGTTCTTTATATATTTTGGAGATCAGACCTTTGTCTGTTGCAGGGTTGGTGAAGATCTTCTCCCAGTCAGTGGGTTGCCTTTATGTCTTAATGACAGAGTCCTTTGCATTACAGAAGCTTCTCAGTTTCAGGAGGTCCCATTTATTCAATGTTGCCCTTAATGTCTGTGCTGTTGGGGTTATACATAGGAAGTGATCTCCTGTGCCCATAAGTTGTAGAGTACTTCCCACTTTCTCTTCTATCAGGTTCAGTGTGTTCGGACTGATATTGAGGTCTTTGATCCATTTGGACTTGAGTTTTGTGCATGGTGATAGATATGGATCTATTTTCATTCTTCTACAGGTTGACATCCAGTTGTGCCAGCACCATTTTTAACAAAATCTTAATTGTTCAATTTTATCAATAAAGACTCAGGAGCCAGATGCTGGGGTAAAAGCTTGCTAGCTCAGAGAGGCAGAGAAAGCACTCAGATGGCCTTTCTCCTCATCTGATGTCCCAGAAGACTCCCCTTTCTCCTATGCCTTCTCAAACAAGACTCCTCAAACAGAATGTTCCTCCCTTCTACTTCCTGTGTGTCTCTCTACCCATCCTCCTGACTCCCTCTCATTCTCTATTTCTTTTCTTGATAATCCTGCTAACTGCTCCACCTCTTGACCTATGGTTGACTTTATTTAATCCTGTTTACAATATTTAAGCAGAAAACTCTTGGGTTAAATGTGCTACAAATGAGCCATACCACAATTAGAAACAGGTTTTTTTCCAGTAAATAATGCACTCTTGGGGTTTACAGTGTGATCAAATATCCTGCAACATTATATTTTTATTATCTGAAACCATTTTTTAAATTTAAATATATTTTGATCATATTTTCCCCTCCTCCAAGTCCTTCCAAATCCTTTCCCTTGCTTTCCAAGTAGTAGTTTCTCAAAAAAGCAAAACAAACACCCAATACAGTAAAAAAATAAACTCAAACCAAGAAAACAAAATAAAACAACACCAAAAAAGAAAAAAAAAACCACCAAACTGTAACAAAATAAAAACAACTCTTAAAGAATGTGTGTACAGTAATTATTTATGTAGGTCAGATCAATGATATTTAAACAAAGAAATGGCACTTAAACAAAGAGCAAGAGAAACTAAAAAACTCACATGTCTTCTTTTGTCCATTGTCTCATAGTAAATATTGATGAATTCCTCAGCGGCTCTACATGTTTGTTCCACGCAAGTTTTAAAATCCTACAAGAAAATTTTCACAAAGGTAAATCATACACGAAATATGCAGCAGAAGTTCTTGCTTTATATTCATCACTATAAAGCTGCACATGAAATCAACTATCACATATATTTGAGTATTATAAAGGTCAAGGCACAAATACTTTTAAAAGCAATCTGCTTTTTAGCCATAAATAAAGGACATTGAGCCTATAATTTGTGATCCCAGAGAAGCTAAATAAGAAGGTGAACCCAAAGAAAAACATATAGACATCCTCCTGCATATTAACCTTCATCAGGTGGTGAAAGGAGACAGAGACAGAGTCCCACATTGGACTGCTCTTCGAGCTGATGAGAGAGGGGGCATTGATTGGGGGAGGGGGAGGGATATGGGAGGCGGTGGCGGGGAAGAGACAGAAATCTTTAATAAATAAATAAATAATAATAAAAAACAAAAGCAATCTGCTCCTAGTTTTAGGTCTATGTCTTCAGAACGTATTCATCTGTCCTTTTTTTCACCCTTCACACATAACTCTAAGATCTTTGCTTGGCAACTAAGTAAAAAAAAAAAAACTAGTGTTTTATAAACCATTCACCTACAAAAGGATACCATATGGATAGTAACTTAAGGGTGAGGGTGAGTGTGGGTAGAAACAAGGTGTGAGGGGTAGACAGTCACTGCTGAGTTTCAAACTTAGGACCAAACTCGAAAGTAGGTGAGTTTTTGTTTTTTTTAAGTTAAGTATGACATGGAAGTCTAAGTGGCCTCACTCAGAAATTTTTCTTACATAAACATTCACTGGTGTTAGTAAATGAATTGCAAAAACCAAAAAATGAAACTTCTCAGAGTGGTCTTGCAAAAAGATCCCTTAAGTAATTTTTCCCCCACCGTTTACTGAGAAGTTCTATTTATTTGAATTAGAAATAATCGTCCTTCTTTGTGAGTGACTGGGAGATTCTAACTTTTAAAATCCCCCCCCGGGGGGGGGGCTGGCAGACCAGACTCTGATTCGCCACTTGTTTAGGTGTCCAAGCTCCATGCTCTGTATTCAAGTTCTACTTGTGCCTTCCCTTCCCTCTGCTGCCCAGGCCCTAGCTCCTTAGCATGCCATGATGTCACACACTCACCATAGTAAAGGACATCAGGGTACTTGGGGTGCCTGAAAAGTTATAATTCGCCAGTTGAGATGTCACCTCCTCCTCACACATCTGGCTACTTTGACTGTGAAAAGATGAAATGTTTAGCAAGAAAATGAAACCTGCAAAAGGCACATATTTTTCAACCTGCCCATTGTATCCCAATGTTAAAATCACCCCGATGTTCCAACGTTAAACAGCAGTTCCCTTCAGTTTCAACCCATTCCACCCATCTGTTTTAATTACTTGCACACTGTTCGCTTAGCATAATGGAGAGAAACAGACAAAACCAAAAATAAATCATCCAAAAAATCCCAACAAAACAATGTAAAAACAAAACAACCCCCACCTCACTCCCATAAAAACAAACACCTTGTTCTTGTAATCTTAATACGGAAAACAAATACATCTCAATTTTCCAGTTACCTGCCCTCGCACAAGTTAAAAATAAAGGGCCCAGTTACAGGCATGGCTTATTCCAGGAGGCAGGCCAATGAGAAACGAAATAACCCAGGTTAGTAGCCAACAGGAAAAGGGGGTAGAACTTGAGAAAAGGATAAGAAAAACCGCCTACTACATAAGGGGCTGGAACACCACTTAAAGTTCTAGAATATTCTTCATTCTGTGTCTCTGTTACTAACGCCATAGTTGAATTCCTGAAAATTTTCTGCTGTTTAAAACACATATATTTTACTTACTCCCTCCACACGAAGAGAATTAAATGTCAAGCACTCCCCCAAAACAAAACAAAACAAAAACAAACAAGCACTTTTCTAAGCATTTTTAATTATTTATGGAAACTTTGAGTTAAAGGCTATTTTTTTACCATCACATTATTAAAACAGGATTAACCAGTGACTAGCTATGATTTAAGCTCAAGTAATGAAAATGCCGCTGTGACAAACTGGTCTCAGTACCCTCCCCCCACTTCCCGTGCCATTTCTTAAAACAGTTTATCCCAACATGGCCCTGACAGACTTCTGAACTTTGAATCAAATATTTCTATAAACTTACTATTGGTAGCTTGTTTGTGACTCTTGAGAGGAACAGCCAGACTTTTCATAGAGCTTGTCCCCACGGGACCAGTCGCTACTGTATTTCTTCATATTTTTAGTCTCCACCCGGCGCTCACGAGTGTACTCACGGCGACGGCTTTCTTTTCTGCAGGACTCCGCTTCAGTTACTTCCGGTTTGCTTGCTATGATGCTTATGGCCAGTACTTATTACTTCCGGGGCAGCTACTCCCATGTGACGTCCAACTGTTCTTCATATACTATTGAATCAGTTTTATAACTTCAGTTCTACCTTTATGGAGCTGAAATGATACATACGTGATCTTACTTATAGTGAAAATGAAAATGTTCTTCATGTTTCTCAAGTTTCTCAGACCTTCAAGTCCAAAATTTAAACTGATTTTTTTCTTCAGTTTATTTCTAGTATATATTTTCTCAGTCAGCTATGCACAAATCTGCATTATTTATTGATTGATTTTTGGTTCTCTTCTTATTGTTTATTCATTCAACATATATTTATAGTCATTTATTGTGCTCCAGGCATTGTGCAAAGCTCTCGCTGACAAGGAGTGAACACAATTGACATAATACACATACAAAACTTACAGACAGGTGCTGAGGAGATCCATCCAGACGGGTGAGTGTGTACCCGACATGAGCAGACAATCCGGAAGGGAGTACAGGGCCCCTCCAGCTCCTGCTGCAGGGGCTTCTTTGTTCCACACGACCCTGCCCCCCTCCAAGTTTGCCATTTTGTCTGCAGGATCCTTGGACTACTAGTAGTTCCTGTTCCTATACTGAGGAGTTCCATCCAGATGGGTGACTGTGTGCCATCCCGGGGTGGATGGTCCGGAAACCAAGCACAGGGCACCTCCAGCTCCTGCTACAGGGGTTTCTTTGTTCCATACGACCCTGCCTCCCCAAACCTGCCCTATTGTCTACGAGGTCCTTGGCCCGGGAACAGTTCTTGCTTCTGCACTGAGGCTTTCCACCCAGAGGGGTGAGTGTGCCTGCCAGAAGGTCCCCGGAAGGGAGTGCAGGGCACCTCTTGCCCCTGCTGCAGGGGCTTGTTTGTTCCACACAACCCTGCCCCCCAAGTTTGCCCTTTTGTCTACGGGGTCCTTAGCCCACCAGGAGTCCCTGTTCGTGTGCTGAGGAGATCCATCCAGAGGGATGAGTGTGTACACCCACCCCCCTCTGGACAGTCCAGAAGGGAGTACAGGGCCCCTCCAGCTCCTGCTGCAGGGGCTTCTTTGTTCCACACAACCCTGCCTCCCCCAAGCCTGCCCTATTTTCTGTGAGGTCCTTGGCCTAGGAACAGTTCCTGCTCCTGTACTGAAGAGATCCAGCCAGAGGGCGCTCCTTTCCATCTGCGGGGTCCTTAGATCTACCAGCATGACTGACTATAGTGCCAAGGGGCCCTAAGAGAGGCCAAACCAAGAAAATTCCCAAAGTACACAGCCAGTCACAGCAAAGATTGGACCAAGATGCCAAGACTCTCTTGGCTGCATTTGAAGGAAAAGATGGTCAGGTTCCAATGAAAGAATTCTTCCAACAACCTGAAAAGCAACATGACAACATAATAATCCAGTGAACACGAAACAAGAAGACTTGAACACCCTAGTCCAGAAAAAGTGGAAGAAACCAACTTTAAATGTAACATTAATAAAATAATAGAGGCCCTTAAACAGGATGTGAAAAACTCCTTTAAAGAAATGGAGAAGACAAACAAAAAGTTACAAGAAATGAGTAAATCTCTCAAAGATATCCAAGAAAAAGCAGTCAAACAGGTAATAGAAACAGTTCAAACTTGAATAATGAAATGGAGGTAATGAAGAAAACACAAACCGAGGGATGGCTGGATATGGAAAATCTGGGTAAACAAACAGGAACTACAGAGACAAGTATAACCAACAGAATACAAGAGATAGAAGAAAGAATCTCAGACACTGAAGATAATATAGAAGAAATAAACTCATTGGTTAAAGAAAACAGCAAATCTAACAAATTCTTAACCCAAAACATCCAGGAAACCTGGGACACCATAAAAAGACCAAACCTAAGAATAATAGGGGTAGAAGAAGGAAAAGAATTACAGCTCAAAGGCCCAGAAAATATATTCAACAAAATTATAGAAGAAAACTTTCCCAAACAAAAGAAGGATATTCTTATGAAGGTACAAGAAGCATACAGAAGACCAAATAGACTGGATTAAAAAAAATCCCCTCACCATATCATAATCAAAACACAAAATATACAGAACAAAGAAAGAATGTTAAGAGCTGCAAAGAAAAAAGGTCAAGTAACATATAAAGGGAAACCTATCAGAATTACACCTGACTTCTTAATGGAAACCAAGAAAGCCAAAAGGTCTTGGATAGATGTGCTGCAGATGCTAAGAGACCATGGATGCAAGCCCAGACGACTATACACAGCAAAGCTTGCATTCACCATTGATGGAGAAAACAAGATATTTTAGGATAAAAACAGATTTAAACAATACAGAGCCACAAATCCAGTCTTACAGAAAGTACTAAAAGGAAAACCACAAACCAAGGAAGCCAACAACACCCATAATAACACAGACATCTGAGAACTCTCCAACAGTACAACTCAAAGAAGAGAAACACACAAACAGTACCACCAAAAACCACTGGTCATTAATATCACTTAATATCAATGGATTTAATTCACCTATAAAAAGGCACAGGTTAAGAGAATGGAAACGAATGCAGGATCCAACATTCTGCTGTTTACAAGAAACACACCTCAACCTCAAAAACAGACACTACCTCAGAGTAAAGGATTGGGAAAAGGTTTTCCAATCAAATGGACCTAAGAAACAAGTGGGTGTGGCTATACTAATATCTAACAAATTTTTTTTTCAAACTAAAATCAATCAGAAGAGATGGAGAAGGACACTTAATATTCATAACAGGAACAGTTCATCAGGAGAAAGTCTCAATCCGGAATATCTATGCCCCTAATATAAAAGCATCCACATATGTAAAAGAAACATTACTAAAACTCAAAGCACACATCAAAACCCACACTCTAATAGGAGATTACAACACTCCTTTCTCACCAATGAACAGGTCATCCAGACAGAAACTTAACAGAGAAATAAGAGAACTAACAAATGTAATGAACCAAATGGACCTAACAGACATCTATAGAACATTCCACCAAAACAGAAAAGAATATACTTTCTCCTGAGCATCTCATGGAACCTTCTTGAAAATTAATCACATAATCGGTAACAAAGCAAACATCCACAGATACAAAAAAAAATTGTAGGAACCACCTGTGTACTATCGGATCACCATGGAATAAAGTTAGAATTCAACAACAATTCTACCCCCAGAAAGCCTACAGACTCATGGAAAATGAACAGTCAACTACTGAACCACCCCTGGATCAAGGAAGAAATAAAGGAAGAAGTTAAAGTCTTCCTGGAATTCAATGAAAATAAAGACATAATATACCCAAACCTATGGGACACTATTAAAGCAGTCCTAAGAGGAAAGTTTATAGCACTAAGTGCCCACATAAAGAAAACAGAGAAAGCTCACATTAGAAACTTAACAGCACACCTGAAAGCTCTAGAAAAAAAAGAAGCAGACTCACCCAGAAGGAGTAGAAGACTGGAAATAATCAAACTGAGGGCTGAAATCAACAAAATAGAAACACAGAAAATCCAAAGAATCAATGAAACAAAGAGCTGGTTCTTTGAGAAAGTCAACAAGATTGACAAACCTTTATGCAAACTAATCAAAAGGCAGAGAGAGAACATTTAAATAACAAGATCAGAAATGAATTGGGAGACATAACCACAGACACAGAGGAAATTCAGAGAATCGTTAGATCTTACTACAAAAGCCTACATGCCACAAAATTGGAAAATGTAAAAGAATTGGACATTTTTAAGATAAGTACCATATACCAAAATTAAATTAGACCAGGTTAACAATTTAAATAGACTTATAAGTTGTGAGGAATTAGAAGCTGTCATCAAAAACCTCCCTATCAAAAAAAGCCAGGATCAGATGGTTTTAATGCAGAATTCTACCAGAACATCCAAGAAGTGCTAATACCTATACTCCTTAATGTGTTTCACAAAATAGAAACAGAAGAGTCATTGTCAGACTCCTTTTATGAAGCTACAGTTACCCTGATACCAAAACCACACAAAGACTCAATCAAGAAAGAGAATTACAGACCAATCTTAACTCATGAACATCGACACAAAAATTCTCAATAAAATACTGGCAAACTGAATCCATGAATACATCAAAAAATTACTCATCATGATCAAGTAGGCTTCATCCCAGAGATGCTGGGCTGGTTCAACATATGAAAATCTATTAATATAATCCATCATATAAATAAAGTGGAAGAAAAAAAACCATGATCATCTCATTAGATGCTCGAGAAGCATTTGACAAAATTCAACACCCCTTTATGATAAAGGTATTGGAGAGATTAGGGATACAAAGTTCATAGCTAAATATAATAAAAGCAATATAAAGCAAGGTGACAGTTAACATCAAATTAAATGGATTGAAACTCAAAGTTATTCCACTAAAATCATGACCAAGACAAGGCTGTCCACTCTCTCCATACCTCTTCAATATAGTGCTTGAAGTTCTAGCAATAGCAATAAGACAACATAAGGAGATCAAGGGGATTTGAATTGGAAAGGAAGAAGTCAAACTTTCATTATTTGCTGATGATATTATAGTGTACATAAGTGTCCCCAAAAACTCTACCAAAGAACTCCTACAGCTGATAAACACCTTCAGAAATGTGGCAGGATACAAGATCAACTCAAAAAATCAGTAGCCCTCCTACACTCAAGGAATAAAGAAGCAGAAAGGGAAATCAGAGAAAAATCACCTTTCACGATAGACACAAAGAGCATAAAGTATCTTGGGGTAACTCTAACCAAAAAGTGAAAGATCTATTTGACAAGAACTTTAAGCCTTTGAAGAAAGAAATTGAAGAGGATACCAGAAAATGGAAGGATCTCCCATGCTCTTGGATAGGTAGGATCAACATAGTAAAAATGGCAATTCTACCAAAAGCAATCTATA